TGGTTGCTGCAATAAGATACCCGGTACTGGTCACGTCCCGCGTTTATTGGGTTCCCCTCACAGACTATACTTTCCCATAAGTTCATACTCATACTTCGTGAACAAAGCGCCGCGAACGAATGTTTCACTTCGCGGGACGCTTGTAAGGTTTACTACAATTAAGCTCGTGATTATATTGTTTCGGCTACATTTAAAAAAATATAAAGACCAGTAACACTTTCTTTTTGTAATAGACATTTATTTAATTCATTTTTTTTTACAAAAAAAAAAACAACAACAACATGCAGCAAGTTTCTTTACCAGTGATCATGCAATAATGTAAACGACCTGCGGGGAAGGGAAATAACCCTATAACGAGTGCGAATGCTTCATATAATTTCACATTTTATATAATTTTGTTTTTCAACAAGGTACCGGGCAGTAGGAGGGCGATAGAAGCCCTCTTAGAGTTTAGTTTCACTAGCGTAACAAACCGCAACTCTTTTTCTTTTTTCTTTTTTTACCATGATAGTATTGACCCGACACCAGATCAGAACAAAAAAAAAAAAAAAAAAAAAAAATCTAAAATAGTAGACAGTGGTTAAAGCGAGTGTGTTGTAATTCATATAAACATTTTAGAAGATTTCAGGACTCTTCCTCAGTGCCGGTTACTTGCAATTTCATTTCTTTTACTCTTGGTGAAATTAAACCTTAAAAACGAGGTTTTTGACATGTTTGCTAGCAGTGTTTGTTGCATGTCCCTCGATTTTCAGCGAGTGCCTAAAACGTGTGTACACCTAGCCAACGTTAGGGACCCATAGAACAAGGCAGCGTGGCATTCATAGCTCAGTCCATGGAGGTAGGCAGAGGTAGGGAGCCTTCATGTTCGCTTTGCTAAACGCACATGAAGGCACCCTAGGTAGAGGAGGAGGCAACATACCGGCTCAAGCCAGCCAAACGAGAACATCCCAAGGGAAGCCGGAAGTAGAGGTCCTTTCCCTTGGCTCTTTTTTTATTTAAATCAAAATAGAGGATATTTGAGACTGGTACGGGCAGTTAAGTCGGAATGTTTAGGGGATTAATATTACTGTTCATGAGAGCAAGAGACACTCGTTCGTGCGCATTATATTCGATGAGATTGGCACAAAACAACGCGGGACTTCGTTTTAACGTTGTGATTATGTGGTGACAACTAGCGTGGCTGAGGCACAGTTCTCTACGCCGAGGGTTCGCCAATGCCAATGTTACAACCCGGCTGCTAATCAACGGAATACCCCACCGCACGCCTATGGTCACTGATAGCTTAATTAAGCGGTACATAGCTTGTTGCGTGTTCACGCTTCTGGCTTTGTGATTTGTTCTTTGGCGTTCCTGTCGGCTGGCACCGCAAATCCCATTGGCCTCGGAGCGATAATAAGATGATTGGTCGAAACTCGATCCGCCCCGCGCCTCTTAAAGGGCAACTCCGCTCAATTTCGAAAAATTTAGGCTTCCATGTGATTCACATTCACAAAGTAATACTCAACAACTCTACCTCTTCGGATTCGCGAAATGTGGAATAATATTTGTGTAATCCTAATTTAAACATCAGCAGATACCGAAACCGAAACTTCGGTTGCGTCAGGCAACATTGGTCTCGGGTCGTCACAGTCATGGGCACGTCACGTCGAACCACGTGGTCTTGTGACGTTCGGGAGGGAGCGAGAAACAGGACACGCGACGCGGGCAGGTCCTTTTTTTTTTTTTTTTTTTTTTTTTTTTTGACGCGGGCAGGTCGCTTCGCATGGCGTGGACGGTGATGGCCCGGGGGAGAGGGGGAAGGGGAGAAGACGAAAGAGGAGAAGGGGAGCGGAGAAACAGACCGATAAGCGCGCAGGGCAGCGGTGATCACGTGAACGCCCGGTCAGCCAACATCGGGAGGAGAAACTCATGACGTCATCGTTAAATTTCGCTCTGAAAAGTAAAAACAAGCAAAACGTGAGAATGAAGTATGCATGCCTCTGACGTAGTGGTTCAACGTTGGCCGCTCCAGCTCCGTGACATTAGGGGATTTTCGTAGATCGTTTTCGCCGTCCCGCAACGCTCTCCGCAACCCGCTACGGTACCCGAAACTCTACAGTCAAGGCTACCGGCGCGCAGGCGCTGTAGCGGCTTCTGCGTTGCGGAGGGCTTAGCGGAGGGTGAAACACGGTCTACGAAAACTCCCTATTGACTGCGCTGATGATTGCGCCTCGCGCCGCACGCTAGAGTTGGCAGATTTCGGCGACTTGGCTCGCTTGAAGGTTCGCTGGCCAGTTTATTAAATATATAGACGGAATTAGATCGTAATATTTGACATGGGGTCTTCCTATATGATATTGAAGAGGGCTACATAGTTCTCTAAATATCAAAAATGAAGCGGAGTTGCCCTTTAAAGGAGCTGTGCAACAATTTCAGGGCTTTGCTTACATTATTGTGGAAGTTGATGCCTGACACTTCTGAAGTGAACTACAGAAAACAGATTTTGCCTGTATACCCTAGTTTCTATTTTAAAAAATTAAAAAAAAAAAAAACCCTGGTTTTTGCCGCCTTTCAACTTATACGTTGTCTTTCGGGTCACGTGCGCAGTGACGTTGATAGGGTAGGCGCGGGGTTCGGGAAAAGTTCTCTCTTTAGAGCCGTCAGTGAGCAGCGAGAACTCCTCCGCTCGCGACCGCGTGACCACGTGCTGGCGGGCGCCGCGCGAACAATATGGTGAAAGGAGGAAAGTCTCATCCGGGTTCGGCCATACCCGTCCGGCGCTGTCCCCCTCCCCCTTTGGCTTCTGGCGGCTGTTCGCGGTAGCAGTATGGTGCCTGGAACGCGTCTCCGACTGGTGTGTTTACCGCGGCCAAAAAAGTGGTCCCTCGATTTCCGCCTGATGACGTCATAAAAGTGTCATGCTGTCGCCGGTCGCGACCCTGGCGGCGTCCCAACAGTTGTGATAAAATTGGCAGACGCCTGTTCTGCTGCAGGTCGCTTTCCATTGTGACAGTTCACGGAAGCTACGGCAGCCGGAAGTTAGGACGCCTAAAGCGCCGCCGCGACGACAGCGGCACTCGCGTTCGCTCGTGCTTTTCGCCAGCATTTCTACGGCCAACCGCCAGGATCGCGACAGGCAACAGCATGACACTCGCGTCATTTGTTGCCACATTGGGACCACTTTTGATGTATGGGCGGGATAGGGCGCTAAACACACCAGTCGAAGACGCAATCGAGGCACCATAGTAGCAGAGAGAGCTGACGGTTTTGTGGACCTAGGATAGATAGCGCCACTAAAACTCCGTATAATAAAAGTTTTGTCGATGATACCAGGTTTTTGACGCATTTATATATATGTTCGAACGACAAGATTTATAGAAAAGTTACCTTTTACCGGGCAGGTATTGACGCAACTTGCTATCTTTCTACAAGATTCCCCTCTGACGTCACGGCGCGTGTTTCTCATGACCGCCGCTCGCGGCTGCAGGTCGGGGAATATTCTAAGTTTTGCCTCGCTATTACGCGGCGGAATCGCAACATTTCGATGAAAGAAGGTGTGTTTTCTGTCATTTGTGACAAGGTTAACAATATCAAAAGCAGAAGATGCCAATTCTTCCAACGTTAAAATCGTTGCACAGCTCCTTTAAGGTGTGATTGGGGACTGTTAGCAAACTGTACCGCACTACCGTTACCGTGGACCCGACTGCGCGTGCGCGACTCGTACCGGCGTCACGTGGTGGAAACGCGCTACCGTGGTCGCCTTACCGTGATACCGTGGCCCTGTGTTCAACATGGCGGCCTCTACGCTGCGCCGCTGCAAGCGACGACACACTTACTGCTTCAGAATGCTGGAGAAGCCATCCAGAAACGCTCGTAGCAGCAAATATGGCTGGAATAGCCACATTTAGTGGCGAGAACTGCTTTTATAACGATCCCGGCATGCCGCAGGACGGGGTTGTTTTTCTTCTCGTTTCACAGTTAAAAAAAAGGAGAAGAAAAAAAACTTTTGATGGCTTTGCGGTTTCCTCGGTGGCTCTGTTCTGTTTAAAGCATTTGAGAGCCATAGCCTTCATCACGCGCTCGTCGTATTTTGCCTCGCTTTGGCTGCGTGTAGCTGCGTGAGCTTTTTGTTGTTTTTTACTGCCCAGAGAGGCTGCGTGATCTCTCTTTCGCTTTCAACACGAGAAAGCTCGCACTGAAGGCGGAGCCTCGACTGGGCTTTTCGCCGATCACCGCCATTAAAGTGTTTGTCTCGTGCGCCATAAAGAGAGCGAGGTACGTTATCATAACAGTTATTAAGGGCCTTTAAACAAGACAAAATGATTTTCTATATAATATGCTTCAATACGTAGAGTTATGAGGTAACATAACACTCGCCTTTATTTTGACAACAAACATCAAAATACTCGTGTTGGGTAGAGTTGTGTTTAACCGCGGTTAGTGACTGCAAACGACGGTTAACTGAGGTTAAGGCTGCCAGTGTAACTATAGGACATTACACTTTTGCAGAAAACCAAGCTGGTTTTATTTTTCATTTCATTCCAGTGGCGAGCAGGGTACCGGTGCTTCCCAATCGGGGGCCGCTTTTCGTGGCATATCAGAAGAAAAAAAGGAAGCACGCGTATAGATTTGACAGCTTCAAAGGGTGCGCGAGCTCAAGTACGCCCATAGCTTTGACTAGAGCCACTAAATAAGCTGCGCTTAGAGTATCGGCACTCCGTTCCCCGACATTGTTGTGGGCGCCGCCATTTTGGCTCGTATGCAGAACAGACGCAACGGCCGATCGTCATGATTCAAAAGTGCGACTTCCTCAGCATTAGATTCGGTGTTAAGAAGGTCATGTAATACTGCTTTGCTCTGTCGCGAACGGTTTAAACATTTGTGGAGGGCGGAAAAGCATTTCCTGTGATTTCAGATAAAGCTTCAGATAACTGGCAACCATGATTTTAAGCCACAATATGGCCAAGTGTCGTTACTCTGAAGCGTAGCTTATTTAGTGGCACTAGCTTTGACTGCATTGCCAAGAAACGTCGTCCAGTTTATGCCGATCCTCAGTTTTATTATTATTCCACCTTATTGCGCCACAAGTTTTATAAATTAATTTATTGTCGTTAGCTTTTGTCACTGGGGTACCATGGTACGAGGCCCGGCTATGCTAAAATCAAATTTTTCAGGATTGGAACGGTACGCGGTCACGCATGCGCAGTCGGGCCCACGGCAACTGTGGTACGGTAACGGTTTGCTAAAAGTCCCTATTGACTAAAGACGAGCCGCGATGGCCGTCAAGCCATCGAATCTATCATTCCATTGAAGCCGACGCAGATTACCGTCTCGTGTGTTTCCGGTAGACAAGCCGGCTTAGTTAGAGATATACTCTTACACCAATACTCCTCACTTCAACGAATAATGAGTACATATGTCATCATGACGTGCAGGGTGTCCCGAGCTGCGCTAAACGCGCCGTGCCTCCTGGCTTCCTACAGAGTTGTAGTAGCGCTTTCAGGTAGGCGGCTACGAAACGTTCCGAGAAAAATGGCGGCTTGGGCCAGAGGAGGCCGTCGAGGAAGCCAACATGGCCACCCCTTGGCGTGACGATGGCGGCGAGCCAAGGGTTATCTTCAATCTCAGTCGTTGGTATTGTTTCTTCGGAACCAAACACGTCATCCGAAGAAAGCAGAAAGACTAGAGGTCGGCGTATTGTTGACAGCTTGCCCTGCAACAAACAAAAACAAGAGATAACTACGTCCGTAACTTGATTACACGAGCTTTAGGTGCAAGCGAGATGGGAGAGTTTTAGAATTTTTGAAGACAAACTAGATAGAAACTGTCGTTGAACTGGCTGCCCTGGCGCTAGTGATAAAACGTTGTCGGCGCATGTCATATTAAATTACATTCTGGGGAGCAAAACAAGTTTGGTCGCGTTATCGGCACCAAGATTACAGCATGCATCTTTCACGCAATCCAAGCAGTCGTGTTTAGCTGTACATAAGTCCTTGTGCGTACAAGGACTTATTGACACCATGAAAATTTAACCTTCCAATGGCGTCATATGTGCGAAGTAGAGATGGATGGCACGTTGTGTTCAGCAATCACTCAAAAGAAAGATCAGGTTTTCATATTATATGGAGTATGGAAAGCAGTGAACATTTACGCAGCACGTTAAGAGGGAACGCATAATGTTTTAAAGGGAATAAATTACGTTCATTCGTCATTTAAGGCAGAAATACATGTCACAGTTTTCTTCTGTAACCCCAATGTGAGGTGAAGCGCCCGATTCTTTTTATTTATATACACTTAAAAATCGAGTATAGTATAAAGGTGTCTAATGCTTCACCTGCCTTGTCGACAAAATGACGTGCGATATGATTTTTGTTTTTGTTTTCTTTTGACGTAGTGATTAGGTCTGGGAATCGATTGAACATTTTAATCAGAATAATCGGCACAATTTACTCGATAATTTAATCGGTTAATCGGTCGTGTTATTTTCCAGGCACAAAAGCGGCAAAAGGCGAAAATCAGATTCTCCCTTTTATGTTTTTTTTTTTTCTCGTGATGAACGCAGCAATGTAGATATTCAGCTGGGGACAAACATGCGCCGTGAAGTGCAGTCGGAATGATGCTCACAGATTAGTATTCTACCAGAGAGGGCATAAGAAGGAGTTTTCTAGTTTTTTTTTCGACATGAACGAGTTTCTGGCTTCTTCCCAATCATCTTTGCAGCAGTACGTAAAAGCTTTAAAACTAATAAACCACTTTTTTTTTTTTTAACGACCGACATTACTACAGGACCGAGGAAACTTTGCGATCGCCACTGCAGTTCGCCGTTCGTCGCGTCGGCTGTGGTACGATATAGAGAGACACACCAGGCTTTCCCGTTGGCTAGACGGCACCGTGGCCCGGAGCCGCCATTAGGTGGTATGACGCGCGGCTGGTCAATTGTGAAGATTCGGCTACTTTGAGAAAATCGACAACGGCGATAGACCGACCGTGATGGTGCGTTATGAAAATTGAGTTTCCAATTGTCGCCTTGTGCGTCTTCGAGGGGCGGTCGTCGACGCCAAAAAAAGGGAGGAAAAAAGAAAAGAAAAGAAAACCCCTTAGCTCCGACAGGTATGCCGCTAACTGGGTGCACGCGTGCAGCTTAGTGAAAATGAAGCTGCGGGACTTCGTCCCTCTCGATGAATCACCGCCTGCCGCCAACCCGCATGCTGTCTTTAAGGAGCGCTCTCTCTCTCTTTCTGCGCTGGATGACGCGATCTTGTGTGTCCCGCACGCCAAGAAAACCTGAGGCGCTTTTCGGAAATTGGGCACGGCCTTCGAGCTAAAACCAGCCCTGCCTTAACCACGACTAATGTTTTTTTTTTCTCTTAGTTATGAGTTTCTTTGCCGACGAACGAAATAGTGTTTGCAATTTGAAAATAAAAAACAACGGCAAAAAAGAACAATTTTTTTTTTAACCTCTGCTTTGGTTTATTATAGAAGTTTATGAGCAAAGCCACTGGCCGCCGCCATGTCTCTGCTTGTGCAGACAAGCCCGTGCAGTTTCAAGCTTGACAAAGCTATGTTCACTAGCAAGATGCACTTGCTTGCACTGATAAAGCACCGGTGGGGGTGTCATGCTTGCGACGGACCTTTCGCTAAAATACCTAAGCACTAAAGAGAATGTTGGGAACGTACTATACTTCGTCTCATATTAGCATGGACTATTGTTAGCTGCACATGCTAAAATCGTGAGCTAGTAGCTATGGATGAAGCCTTGGCGGCTGCACGAGCGCTCGTGCAGCGAGTGCTCCAGTCAGGGCAGTCAAGGCTTGCCCCTCGCGCTTGCTCAGCCTTAGCAGTTAGTCCATGCTAAGGTGAGACAAAGTATAGGTACACGCTCTGCACGTGCTCGCCTTCCTTATGTAAAAAAAAGGTTTGAAGTAAATAACCAAAATAAAGCGTCCATGAACGCGCGTGCGAAGTACCATTCGTTTTTTATTTTTGCTTTCGAACAGTTAGAGCTGAAGACGCCAGCACGCGCAGCGCGTGTACTTACGTTCCCGGCATTCTTTTTGATGCTTGGGCAATTCGGCTGAAGGTATATTGTCTAGACTCCATTCGCCCTGAAGACTGTAGCCAATGCCACAGGCACGAGAGCTCGTCGAAGATCGCTGCTTCGAAGCGTTCTTCCACAGAACGAGCGCTCGCGCTAGAGATACATTTCCCAAAGCCAGGAGCGCTGACTAGCTCGCGCTTGTAGGTAGGTTTAACTGCAGTCTCAGGTTAAGGGGGAACGGAGTGTAGGTTTCAAATTCGACCGATTAACGGGTTTAGAAAAAAAAATAATCGCGATTAAGGGCACAGGGTAAGTCCTATACTCCCCATGCATTTGAGGCTATGTTGAGGAACATTTTTCTCGGTGACTATTAGGAGTATTCCTGTCATGTAAATATCATTTTGTTCGAAATATTGTGTTTTATCCACTGAACTAGAATTATTTGAACCAATCTAAAATAAGTTTTTTTATATATTTTTTTATTCTAGTACTGAAATTTTAGTTGTTTTCATCTATTAAAAACTTTATAACTCAAAAACTGCTAGGTGCACATTTTTAATTTTAGTTCAGTATTTTTCAACACCCATGTATGTGGTAGGAATAAAAAATCAACCCTCTATAATGTCAGGTTAAGGAAAAAATGGTACCTATGTACTAAAAAACACTGTTTTGAGATAATTGAGTTTAAAGTAAAAAAACTGGTGAATAACGAATTTCTATTGGCACCAACAGCCTCAGAGTCATTTTTTCAATAGCCGCCAGCTTGAAAGGCATTGCTAAAGTCACGTCGTCGCCTTTAGGCTTATCGCCTTGCTTGCCGGGCCTCTTTCGTGACCTGCCATGTCGCTTGGTCCGTAAAGTATATTAGAGTGACGTCAACTTCCCTCAGCCACTTGATGGCTTTCCAAACAGGGTTCCATCCACAAAACTTCAAAACATTGGCTTGTGCAATGCTGCCACCATTGAAAAAAGGAACAGCATTCGATGGCGCCATTTTGTGGTTACGAAAACACAAACGCTTGAATGTACACAGGGTACACACCTGGGAAAAACGTGCACAGCTTCTCGTGATTGTCTTGGTTGAAATAAAGCTATGCAATAGTTGCAAAATAATTTTTTGAGGTTATCTGTTACTGGACAAGCTTTTAGGACTTGTGTTGATTTTGTTTTGTTGGAGAATTCATCGTTTAGCAGGGAGTGTATCCGAAAAGGAGGCGTGGTCACCTGCTACTTGCTTTCGGAAGAAGTGATTTTCAGCCCGAAATATAGCTTTCTAAAAACACTTGGACAATGAAAAATGTGCAGAAAGAACTAAACTTTTCAAATTGCGAAAAAAACTAAAATCGAATTTTTTTTAAATTTTACCTTACCCTGTGCCCTTAAAGCAATGATTGATTAATCGGAAGGCTCATTGATCAATCGGTCAACCCTAGCATGACTAATGTTACTTTTGCCACATGTTGCACACATTTGTTGAATAGGCTCGTTAATAATTGATATAAATTGAGTCTCGGTTTTTTTCTCTCTTTCCGCTTTTTATGTCAAGAAAAAAGAAAAAAAAAACGAGAAAAAAATACCCTACGTTTTTTTTCTCAAAGCTTTTTTTTTTTTTTGAGCCCTCTTAGCATTGTAATTGAGACACCGCCAGAATCGCGGCCGTCGATACCATGGCACTTGTATGACGTCATCAGACAGAATTTGAGGGACCACTTTACTTCTTTTTATTCCAGTCGGAGACGGGTTTTATGCGCCATGGATATAGGGAGTGTTCACTGGAAGCCATATTTAAGGGAGATTTGAGGGAGATGTTTAGAGCGCGTGCTCAGAACGAGCTCACATTCATAGCCTGCTAAGACCGGCAATTTCGACAGTGCGGAATGCACGTAGCAAAAATAACTTCGGAAGCTCGCCGCCCATCACGCGCTGAACACTCGCACACACAGCTATGGCCGCCAGGAATGCTCCCTCTAGGAAGCTAGCTGCGAAGCTTCTTCGCCAACTTACCTTGAGACTGCCCTTTTCGTAGTAGTCGCTGGTGCTCTTGAAACCATACACGGGGACCGTGAGTTGTTTGTCAATCTCCACCAAGGTTCGGGACCGGAACAGGTGGTGTATATCCACGATGCCCTGTGAGGGTAGCCGGACCAGACGTTATCAGCTCAGCTATGACCCATTTCCATATTCAGACCACGACCAACTCTATAGTAGGTTGTGATTCAGAGGGCAAGATATCGCTATGAAAACACTTCCGCGATTAGGACATCACTTGGAAACGGTGTCGTTTTTTATCACTAACACGAAAGCAAGCTAAGTGTGGGCGAATTTGACTTCTCGCCTTAAAAATGATCCGCTACGTTTTTTTCCCGCGGGAATTTACTGACACAACCCGTTTCTAAGCTAGATAATAAGTATTGAATCACCCGCTCATTCACCTGGCCACAAATTAGTTACTAAGCTTGAATACTAACGGATTTAGCGTCTCATTCATGGCTCGAATGTCAAAACACTGGAACCATTTTCCCGCTTCCAATAAAGTTATCACTGACGTTTTTTTTTTATAAATTTTTTTTGCGAGTAGCACAGATGGGTGATTTAATTGCTATTTTTCATTGTGTTCAGGTTATTATATAATGTGATTTATATTGTGAGGGTAACTAAAAATATAATCTAGATAAACGCCGATATTACAGGTTGTTAGCTCGGGTTAACGTGTCTGCGGCGTTCCAGAGAGTATAAGGTTTTTCAAGTTGAGATTCCGACAGTTGGCCTACTCGCAGCTTTATTCAGCATGAATACTGGCGTTTTCCTTCTGCAGATTAGGTAGCGTAACCAATGTCTATTTCTTTAAAGTGGCTGTGCCACATTTCTTTTTTAACTTTCAGTATTTTCCGCTTAGACTTTTTTCTTGGCATTCATTATCTATGACGCACGTTGTGTTTTCTTCTCCACGCAATGGCAGTCACAGAAATAAATTCGGGAAAAAAAGAAACCTCGTTTACACCCTCCTCTCGCAGCTAGAACAAGCGGCCACGGGATCTGGAGCCGATTTAAACGCCGTCTGTCAATGTTTAGCATAGCCAAGCGCTGCGGAGTTGGCAAAGCACAGGGTGCGCGCGCTGAACTCCACGCAATGTTAAGGTCTGTCTATTCCCGCCGTTTCGGCCATTGGACACGACCCACTACCCGAATGCATGTCGAGACATTAGGGATTTTTAGCGAACCGTTACCGTGTTCAGCGTACCGCAGTATACCGGAGCCTTCGAAGGATGCTTTTAAGCGCGCGCCCCGCAGTCACGGCATCACCCGAACGCGCGCTTAAAAGCATGCCTCAAAGGCTGCGGTAGAGTGCGGTTCGCGGAACACGGCAACGGTTGGCTAAAAGTCCCTATTGATTGTCAAGAGCCCAGATCGAATTCTCAGGCAAGGCACGTGTTCACTGTCTAAGGAGACATGCGCGAGGGGAAAAAATGTCTTTTTATTAGTTACGATAACTGAATGAAATTTTCACAGCTTATAGTGATATATATAGTGTTTGACCTCTTTTTTTCATAATCCTGGGGTTTCTATTGATGTAGTTTTTTATGTTCTGGATGCAACGTACATACAGATAAAGGATGTTCTTGCGCACTCGCGGGTAATGGCAACGCAGTTAAAATAGCCTATTAAAATAAACTAATTCGCTCTTTTAATCCACCGAGTGCGATGAACAACAAAAGTGACGTGTGCGAGACCTATTTTATTTAAAAAAAAACAATTCAATATGGCAAAAACGTCATTTTTAAAAGGCTAACAAAAATGTATTAATTTGTTGATAAATAAAAAACAAATTCTAGCCAAATCTTAATAGTTGCATTCTAGGTATTCTAAAATATATTTGCACTACATTTACTCTTGATAGGACAATATTAAGTACAAAAATTCTTGCGCGCAAACTGTGAAGGTGCCCGAAAATTATATAAAGAGAAAAACGCGTATGATTGCTTCATTTCATTTATTTACCCTCAGGTGCACGTCACTAAACGTCATAGATGCGTAGCAACACTCTTTTGCAGCGGTAAACAAAAAATTGTAATAATTGTTTCCGAGAAATTAAAGCTAGAGAAGACTGCGACTGAGTGGAGACGACTAGGCTTACTTCTCAACATAAATTTGATGGTGTGCAACATCATTATTAAAAAAAAACAAAAAAACAACCGCGCGCAAAAAAAACAACAACAACAAAAAAACACACATACACACACAAAAAAAAAAAACACATTTATGTTGTTTTGGGTCGCCAGGAGGTCTTCAAACGCGTATTTTACTAACTCGACAATAATAACCGGCACTTAGTATTTTTATACATAAAACACGAAGATTCAATGATACTAAAACACCATAAAACCTAAAATCACATTTTGGGGGGCATTTTTCGACTCGCTTTTCCCCTTAAACATAGGTACAGCGGGGATCACAATGCTTGATGACGAAATACCGGGGATCGCATTGTAGGCCTTGTGCCCGCAACTTCCTCATTAAATTTTTCGAAAACGAGATTGAAAAAAAAAAAAAAAAAATAAAAAAAAGAAAGAAAGAAAAACAAAATACAACATCTGCTTTCGTGGTCACGCATGGAATGAAAGGGATTACAAACCGTGAGATGTAATATAAATTAAAGGCCGCCGCATGTATCAAATGATTTCACTTTATAAAGTAATTATTTTACCTTAAAGAAAAATGTGAAGAATTTTAGACAGGGATTCGAACCACGACCCTTCGGTTGCAAGCCAGACACGCTACTGACTTAGGCCAGGTTCGCCGCACTTCCGGCTCACTGACAGAAAGAGCACGAAAAGCGAATGAAAAGGCGAGGCGAACGGACTCCAATAACGCCATCGCGTTCCACTCTTAAAGGCGAAGCTTAAAAGTCTCCCCCAAGTTTTTATTACGATCCTGCGTATACGATTAGCGACTGTGTGTGCAGTTTGCATCTGATTGCTCGGTAAGGCAGCTGTAACCCTTAACAAAAAAAAAAAAAAAAAAAAAAAAAAAACAGGAATTGGTTTATTATGATAATGTACATGCTTCGCAACACCCTGCGTGTCTTAAGTTCTCAGTGTCTATATAATATTTTAGACCGCAGCTCTTATGCGCCCGTTTCCTGGTTGAGCGGCGTCGGCGTCGGCACAACCGCGCGCGTTGCATTATGGGACGTTTCTCTGCTAAAGTTAGCGGGGAAATTTCCCCGCTAAATTTAAGGGGAAACCGAATTGGTGTACGAGTCACGTGACTTTAAATTCCCCGCTAAATTTAACGAAGAAATGCGCAGACGAACGAACGAAAGCCTTCATAGGATTAGCAGGTTCCGCCGGAGACGACTTACGCTGGAGACGAGCACGGGGCAGTATTGCTTGAAGCGCTGCACGAGGGCGCGTGCCAGGTACATGTTGAGCAGGTAGTTGGTGCTCCATCCGTTCAGGTTCACGTGGGTGGTGGGCAGGTGGAACGGGATGGAGAGGGACACCCCGGCGTCGATCTGGGCCTCGTCGCCCTTCTGCAGGAGGTAGTGCCCCAGCTGCGTGCCGCCCAGCGAGTAGCCCACCGCCAGGATGCGGCCCTCGGGGTAGCGCTTCTTGATCTCCGCCACCACCTTAAAAAAAAAACAAAAAAAAAAACATTAGTTTACGTATAACTCCGCTATATGTATGCGTAAATAATTTACATGTCCTTCTTTACAAAAAAAAAAAAAAGAAAAAAAACATAAAAGATAAAAGTGGGGAAGTTTGACGACTACACGTTGACATACAAATGCGAGTTGCCGGAACATCCGCATGGCGATTTACTCATTGAGTTGATCGTTAGGCTTCGTACGAAGCGTTGATGTTTTCGTAGCTCAAGGTCGTAATGCCACGTACATCCACGCAGCCTAACCGAACGCCCACAGCCACGTTTATTATATATATATAAACAGAAATAATCCAAAAACATGAAAAATACTTATCTTAGCTCTTGACTCTATTAGGTTCATTATTAAACACCTGTTTCACGGGCAGATCAAATGAAATTTATGCCGAAGGTCTTGGCTGAAAGGTGAATCAGCTTGTGACTCCAACCCTGAGCGCACCACTGGCCACGCGCTGGTTCGCCGATTCTTGAAAGGCTTTCGCTATAAATGTCATTTGGAAAGTCCATAGGGTCTATAAGATGCTTGCCCTGATATACCGTCATCTAGTAACGAGTCTAATAGAACATTTTCACGAATGAGAAGTGGATTTATATCGGGAGTCACGCAACGCTTCGCGAGTAAACATGCGAATAATGTGCCGCTCTGAGACATCGGCGTTTTTTTCCAAGTTTACTTAAAGGGGTATTCACACGAGGGAGAAATCCCGGGGATTTCTCCCCGGCACGCGCGCATCACGAGATGAAAACGCGAGGCTTTTGCACATCGCAAAGCCTGACGTTTTCGTCGTGGGATGCGCGTGCCGGGGAGAAATCCCCGGGATTTCTCCCTCGTGTGAATACCCCTTAAAGGACCCATGAAACGAATTTTAGGCTGGAGTAAATCAATTTATATTGGGATTTTACTAATAGCACATCGTTCAGTGGGCCAAAAGAACAAAGGTAGAAAGTCAGAAACCTGACTTTCGCTACGAAAATTTGCAAAACATAGCGGACTATTTCGTACCTCCTTCCCTTCGTAAACTCTCCGCCTTTTCACTGTGATACATCCGCGGACCCCGCAGCGCGTCACCGGGCTACTAGCCACCATAACCGGGCCCCCGCAGCGCGTCACCAGGGCCCAAGCGCACGTCACACGACACCGGACCTCACTTAATCCCTTTACCCCTAAGCTGACATTGCGGTGGAAGCTACGCGCTTGCCGGACCAATCAGCCGTCTCCCTTTCATCACCTGACCTCATTCTCTGTGGGTCGGTATGCGCGAGAGGGCATGATCACGTGGAAAATGTGTGGCTGGCCCAACGAGCACGTAGCTTCCACAGCACTGTCAGCTTCGGGGTGAACGGGGTGGGGAAAGCAACTAGTCGGAATTTTGAGCGACGGGCTAATCTTCTAGGGGGACAATGGCTGTGTCCGGCTAGTCAAACGAGATTCCGAGCAAGAGGGGACTCCCCCCTTTCCGACTTCTTGAACTGTTTGGTACAATGCGCGATTTATGAGTTGAGAAGGAAAGCTAAACAGAAAAAAGTTGAAAAAGCGTTTCATGACTCCTTTAAGGGGCTATTCATGATGGTAACCGGACAAAAGCTCACCGGACAAAAGCTCACCGGACAGAAGCTCACCGGACAAAAGCTCACCGGACAAAAGCTCACCCGTTTTTTGACAGACCCGGACAAAAGCTCACCTCGATTTCTTTTTTTTTTTACTATCCGGGCGAAACACGGGATGAAATAAAGTGCGGACGCAATGGACATTGGACCATTTTTAGGAGAACTTGTGCCTCATCCACCATTGAGTTGAGAATTTTTTAAAAATACTTTGAAAGAACGGGAGTTCGGCCTTTTGGAAAAGTACAAGAAATGACCAATTTAAAAAAAAAAAAAAAAATTGTGCGGGATTTTAGATAGGCTCGGGTTCCTTCCACCACAGCTTGTTCCACAAGAACTGACCACCAGGGAAAAGTCTACCGGTGACATCGCTACCTACTGGACTATTTTGATTGCACGTATTTCAACGGCCGCTTCCGTTATGCTTCTGTTCCATCTGCGGCGGCACCCAGAGCGACTTCTTCCCTCCACCTGACTCTGCGCCGACGGCGACCGGAGTTTCCCCCGGTACGGAGGAATATGTACGACACCACTCTTCAAGATAAAGACCGGATGAGCAACACCTGCGAAAGATAGAGTACCGGGTTCCAGAAGCCCGTCGGCCACGCCCATCCAAGCGTCTTGAGGCTGATTGAATGCCTACAGCAAAATCAGGCGCTCGTTGACACGGCATTGACAAAAGCCCGGAGAGGTGAGCCCACCGTAAAGCGGGTGCGAAAAATTACTCTGCACCTGCAGAATCGTCTTAGAAATATTTGCGAGGGCTTGCATGTACATCGAGATCTACCAAGACTGCTGGAGCTAGTGGGGCACGGCATTCGCTTCTAACCAATCGATAAATAAACTTGTTTCTACTAAAATCAACAAACCATGCGCCTGTCAGATTTAATTTATCGTTGCCTTTTTGTGTCGGACGCATGCACCTAAGTTGTCCGCACTCGTGTTAAGACCAACATACAATTTTCTCGTGGTGAGCTTTTGTCCGGGTCTGTGAAAATATGGGTGAGCTTTTGTCCGGGTCTGTGAAAAAATGGGTGAGCTTTTGTCCGGTGAGCTTTTGTCCGGTGAGCTTCTGTCCGGTGAGCTTTTGTCCGGTGAGCTTTTGTCCGGGATTCATGAATGATAACCCAATTTTACCGCTTATGTTGGTGTCCTTCAATATGAGGTTTTAGGATACCTTTTTAATTGAAGAGCAAATACAAGAACAACCTGCGATTGCGTGTTTGTGTTGTCTCCCGCTTTGCCCTTAACACCTAACAATCTACCGGCACTAGAACGTCGCGTAAAGGGCGTCAGGCGCATATACGAGGCACAAGGGGACCACCTCCGTGACGTCGTCGATGCCGAGGACGTAGGCCATGCGGTGGTTGAGCAAGGGCAGGCCTCCCTGTCCCCGGTTGTTGAGCACCACGCAGGGACACTTCATGCCGGACAGCATGGGCAGCAAGGTCTTGAGGTAGAAGGCCTGGCTGTCCCCCGTCAGGCCCGTCAGGCACAGCACCACGGGCGGCTGGCAGTCCTCATTGAGCCAGTCCAGGGCCACCAGGCCGCCGTCCGAGAGGTACTTCAGCTGCCTCCGGTAGGGCACCTCGGGCTGGTTATCCTGCGTGCGCGAGTCCTCTAAGTTAACACGCCGGGCACTAAGGAGGACAATCAGGGATAATGAGTGTATACCGAGAATCAACATTGAGGTAAGCTCGCAAAAGTGTCCACGTCGTCCAGTTTCAATAGTTTCGGGTAAACGCTAGAACATATACGTCCCACAAGAATAAATTAAAATGTTAAAATTCGAACGTTTTTACGGCGAGCAAGTTGGCCTACTTCTTGCGCAGATGGTGTAGCGGCGTCATCAGTGTGACGAGTTCCGGCGTCGTCCGCTCGTCAGAGCAATGGCTGCTTTGCTTTTCTACGGATTTAAAAACTACATCGGTTTCTTTACGAACAAGGACTTCACCTTCGAGTAGGGTAGAGGAAATGGTTTGAAGGATACATTGTTTTTGTCAAGTAGGAACTACTAGGCGCGCTAAATCGAACGAAGAACTCACAGACGATACTTGTTTAATTATTTTAGTATTGCGGGTTCCGTGCAATAAATTCTCCAATGTGCCTATAGTTGTACGGAAAATAGTGTAGAACTAACTTTTTCGGGTTTAGGATTTTGTTTGAAATTCAGGTAATTTTTTTTTATCGTAATTGAATGAAATAAATGGAACGCTCACGAGTGACAGCTTGTCTACGGGCTGATAAACTCGCGACTTTAGAGATAGGCGACTTTTTAGAATCAAGATACGGGTGCCTTTATTTTGCATTTTCTCAGGCTCATCTTCGTTTATGCGTGCAGCTGGGATTTTGTTCCAACAATATATTTTCCAGGAGTACTATTTACTTACAGGGCTGAATATCACAAAGCAGCATCCAGTTTTACTTGAAACTGTCGAATTACAAACTTTCTATTTTGGACCCTCGGTGACCGAAAAATACGCGGGAATTAGCTGCATGGTTTAAGAAAAGTCGGATGTGCGCACAACTCTTTGAATAGAGCGTTGATTGGTGGCATACCTGGATGAGCATCGCGAAGAGGCTCTGCACGTTGGAACTGATGCACCAGAACGGGACCCAGAAGAAGCCGTCTAGAAACTGTCCACAGTTGTCTTGAAGGAAGCTTCGAAAGCGCGTTTTGCCGCAAAAGAAGCTCGTCCTCCGGACCACGAAGAAGAGGTAGTAGGGCACGTACAGGACGCACGCAATCAACGCTATCGTGCCCATCCCGGGTACCCAAGACATCTTGGTCGGCTTTGTTTACATCCAGACAGGAACCTGCAAGTGTTTTCGTAGGGGAATACAATCGGTAAGACTGTGACGGCACAGGCGAGTTGGTTTAGATTTATCATTTTCTTGAACCACTTTTGTCTCATTTCTGTTCCTGTCCCTTCCACTTTTGGTTCTTCTAGTTCTCCACCCAGTCTCAGGTGGTTCAAGAAAATACAGTCGGGTTACTTTTTTAATGGAAGGAGATCAAGACCACTGTACTTTCTATTAACGTACTAGCTGAAAGGTACATCCTGTAGTCCTTCAGGTTTTTGTTAAGAGGCTTGTTTTGTAAAGCTTAGGGAGAAACTAAGTTTCTTTGCGCTCTAAAAAAGCAAATTGTCTTGAGAAAACGTTGGTTATCATTTTAAGGCTCACATGAGGTGCTGTTGGAGTTCTTCCTAACTCTGCTGATCGATTGCTTCGGAACTGTGGTCGGACATTCCCTCGTCATCCTGTGGCCCCGAGAAATCTCAGTCTCCTTGAAAAATATTGGCTGACTATCATAGGTTAAAACACGTAATCGAAAATAATAAGGTTGTGCTTCTCGAAAAAAAAAAAAAAAACGCGGACAAGGAGGTATACACGACGTTTCGGGCGGACGCCCTACTTTAAACGTCGTGTATACCTCATTGTCCGCGTATTTTTTCGAGGAGCACAACCTTATTACTTGCGATTACGTGTTTTGGCTCATTGTGCTCGGCAGCGACCCCATTTCCATAGGTTATCATGGGATTTCAGGAGATGCATCGAAGTTATTCCAGACAGCTTCACGTTCCCCGTGCTTTGCTTGGACCTTATTCTGAGCCGCCTGTCCTCAAATAACCTAATTTTTTTAGCGAAATATCGTTTGCCATTCTGCAACTCAAGAGGTTCCTCTTTTTTATTTATTTGTGTTGCGGATATTATCCGCTGAGGTCCTTTCTATCAGGAACTACTTCATTTGTGCCTTCTCTTAACATGGTAGTGGAACTGCAACAAGGTGGAAAGTTGGGCGAGTTGGTTGATGGTCATATTGAATGGGTTAAAACAGCGCAAAAAAGACGAAGGACCAGTAAAAGAAAACACACAGACACAGCGCTGCCATGATGGGGTTGATTGGGAGAACACATAAAAGGGCCCGATGTACAAGAAAGGAACTGCAACAAGGTGGAAAGTTGGGCGAGTTGGTTGATGGTCATATTGAATGGGTTAAAACAGCGCAAAAAAGACGAAGGACCAGTAAAAGAAAACACACAGACACAGCGCTGTTTTCATGATGGGGTTGATTGGGAGAACACATAAAAGGGCCCGATCTACAAGAAAGGAACTGCAACAAGGTGGAAAGTTGGGCGAGTTGGTTGATGGTCATATTGAATGGGTTAAAACAGCGCAAAAAAGGCGAAGGACCAGTAAAAGAAAACACACAGACACAGCGCTGTGTCTGTGTGTTTTCTTTTACTGGTCCTTCGTCTTTTTTGCGCTGTTTTAACCCATTCAATATGGTAGTGGATCTCTAGTTTACAGGTGCAAGATTTAAAATCAGTCAAACACAACCCGTCATAAAAAATGAAAAAAACTTTTTTTTTTTTTTTAGAAATTTAAAAGTTAGCTTTTTTTAGGGAGCATTGTCTTCATTGTGTAGTCCCGGGGCAGGGAACAGGAGGCGCAACAATTGGCTGCAAGTCGGTGCGGCTGGCGGTCAAAAGGGGCACCTTTAAGCTGTACCTGCCACTGAACGATTAGACCTCAAGCTCTGCGTAAAAGTTCGGCATGGCACTCGGCCCCTTGAGATTGGGTTCAATGGATGTGGTATGTCTCACACTTTCGAGGATTTTCCTATAGACATCACTATCTTTCCAACTAACCTTGATTGCGCGGCCACTAGGACGGAAAGCCCACGAGTGGGGAAAGACTGTGAAGTTATAGGGGCACTTAAGTGGTTTCGCAATGTCGGAGGAGTCGTTATGCTACAGATGACAAAGAGGTTCTACCTCGATCGCTTACAAGTTTTCGGGGAATCATTGACGTAGAACAATATTGTGGAGAAAGAAAAATGCGATTTCTTTGGTATTTGCCGAGCTCAGTGCCCTTGTCTCCACATACCGGGAAAGGTGGTCGATGGCAACAACAACCCAGCGTTTGCAATGTATAGACTTTGAAAAATGTCCAAGTAGCTCAATTCCGATGCTCTCGAAAGGGTGATTCGGAGATCGCAATGGGTGAAGATGGCTAGCGGAAGCGAGTGTGGGAATCTTGCGGCGTCGACATGTATCCCACGATTTAACGTACCGATGTATGCTGCGGTACAACCCGAAAAAAAAAAAAAGAGAAACGATAAGGCACGCGGTTGTAGGTGCGAAATACACCTAAGTGTCTAGCAGTGGGGCCGTCATGAGGCAACTAAAGGATATCATTACGTAGGTGTTTTGGGATTACACGAAGAAGGGATTCTCCTCTTGGCTCATACTTTCGCCGATAACGAGTACGTGCAACTAGCACATAAAGGCTGTTCATCTTGGCGCCTTGACTTCGAGTGTGTCGTCGCCCATAAAGTGGTTGACGTGTCGCAACTTGTGATCTCGACATTGCTCAGTGGATATATCAATCGCTGGAGTAAGAGCGAAAATAGGAATGTCCATGGTGCCATCGGTGTGAACAGCGCGCTGGAAGGGACAGAGGGACAACGCATCTGCATCCTGGTGATTGTGACCAGCTTTATATACAATTTCGACGTTTTATTCTTGTTGACGAAGAAACCACCGCGCGAACCGATCCGAAGGATGTTTAATGTTGGTGAGCCAATATAGGGCATAGTGGTCGGTGACAACACGAAAGGGTCGTCCAAATAGATATGATCGGAATTTCGTTATGGCCCATGTAATGGTCAGACACCCTTCCTCTGTTGTGGAGTAGTGTTCGGCTGGCGTACGCGATAACATGCCCCCGGCTTTGATTCTTTTGAATGAGGACTGCTCCGATGTCAAATCCACTTGCACCGGAATATATTTCGGTGGAACAATGGGAATCATAAGGACGTAAAATTGGATTGTGGGTAAATAGGGCTTCGAGGATCGAAATGAATTTTCTCGGTCTATGGTCCATACGAAGGGCTAGTTTTTCGAGAAAAGGGAAATGAAAGGTACAACGTGATTAAAAAAAAGCTTTGATAAAACGACGGAACTAGGAGCAGAGGCCAGGGAAACTGCATAATTGTTTTACATCAGTAGGGCGAGGAAACTTGGAGGGAGCCCTTATTTTCTCAAGATCAGTGTGTTTGCAATCAGCACTGACAGTGTGACCCAATATCTGGATTTGAAGGGAAGCTAGACGGCACTTCTTCGCTTTTAGACGCAGAACATTCGTTCTAATGCATTCGAGTACTGACTTCAAGCAAAAAAAGTGTTCATCGAATGTAAAAAAAAAAGAAATACAAAAACAACACTGTTTAAATAACAAAGGCATGTTTACCACTTCAGGCCCCGCAGTAAAGCAAAAATCATTCTTTGGAATGTTGCTGGGGCGCTTTGTAAACCAAAAGGCCTTACCTTAAATCCATATAGTCCTTCGGGAGTGATAAAAGCTTTGTTCTCGAGATCGCGTTCACGGTTCATCTGCTGTTATTTGCCAGTATCCTGACCGTAAATTTAAGTACGAAAATATTTGGAACCTTGCAGGCAGTCCAATGCGTTGTCAATCCGCGGGAGAGGATAGACATTCTTTTTTGTGACCATTTTAGTCGCCGATAGGAGACACAGAATCTGAAGGACATATATTTCCTCTTGATTAGAACAACGGGCGAGGACCAAAAACTAGAGTGGACTCGGAACTCGCCGACAAGAAACTATGGCTAAATCGTCCACCCCTTTCTATCGGGATAGTTAGAAAACAATTATGAAGCCTTTTAGAAACAATAATCGTCTCTTAGTTCAAGTCCGCATTTACTTGGACAGCATTGAGAATAACGAACAGAAACTATCTTTGAATGAGCGTTCCCACAGCGTTCTCTTCTTCCGATGAAGATTTGTGCACGTACGTTAAGCTTCTTACTCTGGGGTGACGTTGAGTCAAACGCTGGACCAACTAACGAGGAACTATTTCTACAAATTAATACTAACGTTGAAATACTCTTGCAGTGTACGAATAGTTTAGAGGAAAAGTTAAAGCCACTCAATGTCAGAGTTACGTCGAGTGAAGACCATATGGAAAATCACACTGAAACACCTCAAAGGCATGTTCCGACTCTCGAGCTAAAGATATATGACCTTGAAAACAGAAAACGCAGGAACAACTTTGTAATACTTGGTCTAGAAAAATCCCCAAATGAGAACCCGTCCTCAGTGAATGATGCTGTACTTCGAAACATTCGAAGAAATATTCGAAAACAAACTAGAGGTGACGATAAAAAGTGTGGAACACATCCATCGCATCAGAAAACCGAACGGCCCCTCCCAACGTCCAGTCATAATCAAACTCACGAATTATCGGGAAAAACAAGATTCACTACAAGATTCACGGAAATGAAAAGGCACTAACATATCCAATAAAGAGGACTTCTTATTTCAGGTGCGCTCTATTAAGGAGCTTCTTTGGGGCAGCTCTCGACCAATCAGAGAGCAAAGAGACCGAAAATCTCTGTTATGCGATAAGTTGATAATAGACGGTAAAATCTACATCTGGGATCATAAAAAAACACACACACACACACGATAAGCTGAGTGTCAGGAGGACTGGTCACTTGCAGCCCAGTCTCACGGCATGACATAGTGGTGAGGTAGACAAGAGGAAGCTAAGAGTTTTATCGTTAAATGCGAAAAGTCTCGTTACTAAAACTGATCAAACAGAAGCTACGATTTTTTCCTACGACCCGCATGTTATTATGGTATCAGAAACCTGGCTGCACGAAGGCATTCAAGAGAATGAAGTGGTACCACATAATTACGGGTTATGTCTCGCCACACGTCGATCACCAACATAAAATTGGTCTACCTGTTTGTAAAACCACTACTTTTTATAGTTCGTTCATCCCCAAAACAACAATTACGTGGAACTACCTTCCATCGTCAGTTGTGTGTGTGTAAAAGATGCCATTATGTTTAAGCGTTGTTAAACCAATTTTCTAAGGTAATCGATACTATATTCGTGTTTCTATTTTTCTTAGGCTGTCATTTTGTATATTAAGTGTAATTTTCCTTTTGTTACCCACTCCTCTTTGTAATGCTCTCGGGATCTAAGGGTGCAATAAGTTAATAAATAATCCGTAAAGATAAATGTTTCCGATGCGGCGGCGAAACCCTAGTTTGTCAGTCTTTAGAAGAAGCGGATGACACAGAAAGTGTCTGGTGCAAGTTAATTTTTTTTATCTATCATAACATTAAAATATAAGGAAACCCGGGTCGTCTCCAGAAGACTTAATGAATATAGTTGATCACTTGATCGCTAATACTAATAATCAAAGTAACTTAATGATAAGGGGAGATTTTAACGCCCCTAACGTCAGTTGGTCAGATGACGGTTTCATCAGGCTGGGTGCAAATGTACCTGCTTCGTTCCTTGGACTTGCCTTCAGTCGTGGTGTTTGTCAGGTCGTTAAAAAACTTACTCGTATTACTGATACATTATATTCGTTACTTGATCTTTTGTTTGCTAGTAAACACCGAGGAATGCAAAGTTTCGGTTCATGACGGGAAATCGGATCACATTGAGTGTGATATTACTGTTTATCAAACTTACCCAGCCAAAGCAAGAACGTTTTGATTTTGAAAGGGCAAATGGCGAGTCGGTAATTGACCATTTTAAGCTGTACCTTGATGGCTTCGAACAGTTGACCGATGTACATCACGTGTGGTTACTAATGCAATACAATCTAATAACAATCTAATGCAATAGCCCAGTTCAGGACTATATAAAGCTAAACAACGTGTTATCTGGCATGGCTTTGGGGTGTCGTAAATATAACACGTTACCATTAACAAAACTCAGTATACGCAAATTTGAACAAAAACAAATTCTAAATTTTATCTACGAGGCTAAAGGAGTCAGACTGGAAAAAGTCGACAGCTGTAAATATCTCGGTGTAATCATTTCAAGTGATTTAAGATGAAACCGCCATGTGGGGTATATCAAAAAGCGAGCAACGAACAAATTGTGGCATCTTGGGAGAACGCTTGAGAGGGCTCCACATTTGTTTAGACTTTTAGCATATAAAACTATTATTAGACCTATCCTAGAATACGCGTTCGAAGCTTGGGATCTCTGGCAGGTAAACCTTGTTAAAGAGTTTGAGGATGTCCAATCACTGGCCAAGCGGATGATTTTTTTTCATATTTCAAGCGATCAACGTTGTCACGGGACTTAAAACTTCAGCAAATTTTCAACCCCTAATGAGTAGAAGGTCACGCCGGCGCGTTACGTTGTTCTTTCAGATTTTTTAATAAACTCGTAAAAATTGATTGCTGTAAATACTTAAAACCAAGAACTTTCTACTCTGAACGATCATATTATTAAAAATGCTGAGTCCCGTTACTGCTCGAATAAGTACATTTAAACAATTATATTTTTTTTTGTGCGTAGAATAAGTTTATGGAACAAGCTAGCCAGTGACGTTGTTGACATTGATTCATTTTCAAATTTTGAATATTTCCTAGATATTTTTTTTCAGTGCTAAGTTGTTTTGACTCCATATAGGCATTGTGCTGTTCTGTGTATTGCATAGGTACCAACCTATACATATGTGTAATGCTATAAACCAGCCATGATTCATAAAATTTTGAAAAACACGAAAATCATGGGTGTGTGCAGCAGAGCATAATGTGTAAAAAGAGAATGTGCACAAATGTTGTTGTATTTTTTGAGTGAAAAATATAAATTGTACTTGTGTCATTCACTCATGCTTTGGCCGCAATGGGTTGGCAGTATTGATAAATAAAAAAAATAAAATAACATATTCCTGAAGCATGTCTTGAACGTGCTTATCTATCAAACTCACGCTCAGATGAAGAAACACGGTAGCGCCTGTAGTGGGCTGGCGAAGCATCACCGGTGTTATAAAGATGTCTTACAAAAATGGCGGACGATTAAGGCTTATCTTCAAGATCAAACCACCAAATGTAGTCCTTCAGCAAAAATTAATTATTGACATTGTTGCTCCTTTGACGAATTCCAATCAAGCACGGGCAATAAACCGGAGACACCTCTATCTGACGAGAAACCTGTGGTCGGTAAGTTTTGTGGGAATACGTCGAGGGAAGCGACAGGCGTGTCACCCAGCGAGCGAACAAAAGCGACACATGTTTTAGGTCGTAAACGCTGTACGTCTCGTTTGAAATATTCGCGAATGGGGCTGGGGTAGGACCGTTTCTCAATGTGAGTATTTAAAAAGGTAGGGCTACAGTCATTTCTCTAGCGACAAATCACGACACGGTTTAATAGAAACATCTGCTGGCTGCTGGTCAGAACAAGACTCACTTTGTCACGTCCCAAAGACAGACGACGTTCAGCATGTCATTCATGGGCACAATCAATGAGGGCTTTGCATCGCGATAAGAAGTCCCAACCTACTATAAAATCACTGCTGCATTCTTTAAAAAACAATGAAGCAGATGGTATGAATTATGCTTAACTGAATACGAGTTCGCACAAACAGTAAGGTGAGATATGAGTGTGATTAGGGCCTCGGAATGGCGGAATGCTAGTTCGTCTGCTCCTTGCAAAGGGGTTGCGATGATATGTCAGAAGGCCGAGCTCTTATTGGCTGATTAAAAAAAAATAGTGGGTAGACTTTGAGGCATCTAGCATTGAGGTCTACCCACTATATCCTTTCGATCAAAACCAATTAGAACTCGGTGTTGTTCTGACGTTGCCGCAACCCCTGCGCAGGAAGCAGACCGACTTGCTCTTCGTATAGTCTTCCGTCGGAAGATGAAGCCAAGGAGGTAAAGCTCGCGCCTAACGGACTCCTTCATCACTGATACTGCGGCACCTGTGTCAATTAAGGACGAGAAAGATTTTGTACAGAGGGTGATTGAAACGAAGTTTTGTGGAGGTAGCGGAGGCTTACAGAAATTTGACGAAGCGGCATGACTTCCTAAAGCCGCGGCGTCTAGTTTCTAATGTTAAATTAGGACGTGGAAAATTGATTCAAAGTTCGCAGACAATCGTTCAAAGTGCATGTTTGGAATTTTTTTTTAATAAAAAGATACACGTAACATAATTTGTAAGAAGTATTATTTGACACGACTTACCTGCAAACGCACGTGCTGTCTAAACATTATTTTTCTCGTAATATTCTATTGATGTAATTCATTAGCAGACATTACCACTCCAGCGGTGCGCGTAAAAGCGAGTGTCCACCACTTCATGAACTGCAATTATTTTTGGTGAAGCTATTTTAAATTCATTTACACTAAAATCTGGAACATAAAACAAATCCAGTGAATTTAAAATGTCAACCAGCCATACTCCGTTCAATTTCTAAAACTACCTTGGTCATTGCATGTTAACACACGAAATAGTAGTGAGACTTTGAAAGCCCATTTTTCTACTCCCAATTAAAAACAATATATAAACGTCTTTTTTTTTTTTTTAATTATCACTCTTAGCTTCTCTTTTATTGCGGGTGGTATGAAGCAACCTTAAATATCATTAAAACATACTTTTATAGCGTGCAAACTGATTTTATAACGGGCGATTTTGTAACTTGCAACGTGCAATAATGGCGAGCAAGGATATACTCCTCGGCACTCGTTTGATGTTTTGATAACATTTTTTTACGATTCATTTTAACACTATGGTCAAGCTTAGCATAGTCATCTTAAAATGTGAGGAATAAAGAATGATGCAATCTATTCTTAACGCCTCACCAACTATCCTCTTTCATTCTACTTCCTTTCTTGTACTGTTACGAGGAGGCAAGCCATAAACAGGGAAGAAACCAACTGAAATTTTCAGTATGCCCTTACTTCCTTGCAAAACACGGCGTATGTATCAACAAATAAATAATAATAAAAAAGGAGCGTCAGATGAATAATTTGTTAACCAGTTTGAAGGAACGTCAGTTCACCGGTAAGCGAACATCTACCCAGAAGAAGTAGCAAAAATGTTAATCTCACGACGATATACACTCTAAAAAAAAGCCCATGTGTCGGCTTTCCCGCACAACACTCGGAGAGCCAATCACCGCAACTTACGAAGGCAACTCAGCGAATGACGATGCCTTTAGACCAAAAAAACGCAGTCTGAGTTGTGACATTAAGCAATGCAAGCGTGACGTTTTGCATTGCTTAATGTCACAACTCAGACTACATTTTTTGGTCTAAACATATGTTTCGGCATCGTCATTCGCTGAGCTGCCTCCGTAAGTTTCGGTGGTTGGCTCTCCGAGTGTTGTGCGGGAAAGCAGACGCACGGGCTTTTTTTTAGCCTCGTAGATGGCCGTTTAGAGGCTCAAACGAAAACGAGCCTGTTCCAGGTAAAGTACGCATTTCATCCGACCTGACTCACCCACGGAGATAGAACACACAGCCGGCGACGACCTGCCCGAAAGTGTTGGAACAAGATTTCCCGTGTCGCGGAGGAGCGCCTGTAGAGAAAAAGAAGAAAAGATAACTCTGGAGGGGGTGTGATAATACGATAAGAAAGGAGAAGGAGGACGCTTATCAAACGTGTACTTTTACTCGGCGACTATGGGAGCGTCGCTGCCCAAAATTAGAAGGCAATCGCTTCGTTTTTGCGGCCCGGCGTTTTCGTTTTCTCTCTGCGTAAAAGTGCGTGTATTATACGACGGAAACCGCGGTGTGTTGAAACTTCCCGGTACGCGAACCGACGCGTCTCGTCGTTGCACTGAGTGACGTCGCGGCACGTTGGCTCGCGGCCAAGGACGCGGCTCGAAATAGAGGCCGATTCAATACTCCGCTTCGCATCATTACTCATTAGTATGGACCGCGATGGAAGCCACGAGCCCGTTGAATCCAATACAATGCCGTACGAGTGTCAGGGGAACTTCGATTGAGACGCAGCGACGCGCGTCGCGCGTAACCACGTGACACGTTCGCAGCGATGGGTTGGCTAAGACGAGCCTTGTATAGGTAAAACAAAGAGCATGTATTGTCGCTGTTTTTTTGTTTTTTTTTTTTTGTTTTTAAGCGGGCGGCGAGATTGTTTAAAGATGTCTTGTGTCAGTCTCGCTTCTGGCGAAATAGCTGCTTATTTCTATGACGCGGCGTTCCGGGTTATCTCATCACTGTCGTACCTGTAACACGTCGTCTCAAACTGGCGTAATTAACGCGTTTCTTTTTTTTTTTATCTTTTGTGATTTCCGGATTTTGACGTCAGAATTGCGTCACTCCGCGGTTCGCAGCGATCCTGTTCCTGTTGGTGGAACGGCAGGAGAAGGAAACGCGATAGTGTCGCCCGCGTCCGCTCGGATTTTCGAAGGCTGGTTCTCATGTTTGCGTTGGAGTGAGTTGCGTTGCAGCCGCCTCTTATTTTTGCACGCTCCCTTTTTTTAAAACCCTGGGCTCGAAATAATGTTGATAATGTTGATACGAACGAACGTTTTTCATAGATAGTGCGCAGATTTGGTTTTTAAAAATCTGCGCAAACTTTCGGTCTAGTTATACGCAGATCAGAGGTGTTCCAACGCCAACTGATAGATGGTGCCAGTGCAGTCTCCGGTCGTGAGTAGCCGCAAACAATCGCAATGAACGCGGTCACATTGAAACGCATTTAACCGACGCCCTTATAATCGGCTGCAACGAACGCGACAACGGGTGTCGTAATTCTGTTATCGTGCGAAGGACGTTCAGATGCATATCCGGTATGGTCTCGGTGCCTAGTTGCTCTGGCTCCTCGTACTGTACCCGTGATCGATGGTCCCGCGGCGCTGTTTGATAAAAATGAACTTTGAGACTGATAAGATCGCGGCGCAACAGATTCAGCTCAAGGGCACCGATATGCACGAGCTGGAACGGTAATCAGCGTGAATACTCGATCTGGGTGCTGCCTGTAGTGCACTGAAGAAAATGACATTAGTCAAATATACTTAAAATATAGAGAATCAAACAACGGAGGTCAAGCGCAGAACCAGAACGTGGCTGTCCTGTGCTTGTCCTCCGTGTTTTATTCTTTCGATTTTAAGTATTCATGTTCAACTCGCTCGGACTTTACTATATATCACTCTAAAAAAAAAGCCCGTGCGTCTGCTTTCCCGCACAACGCTCAGAGAACTAATCACTGCAACTTACGGAGGCAGCTCAGCGAATGACAATGTCGAAACATATCTTTAGACCAAAAAACGCAGTGTCAGTTGTGACATTAAGCAATGCAAGCGTGACGTTTTGAATTGCTTAATGTCACAACTCAGACTCCGTTTTTTTTAGTCTAAACATATGTTTCGGCATTGTCATTCGCTGAGCTGCCTCCGTAAGTTGCGGTGATTGGCTCTCCGAGTGTTGTGCGTGAAAGTAGACGCAAAACCTTTTTTTAGGATGTAGTCATATTTTCGTAAAGATTGAGTTAGCACGCGAAACATTAATTTTGCCCAATGATTTAAACGGGTTTACTACGATTCATCGAACGCCCTTTCATTGAGACATGTCTTTGAGAATGGGCACGTTTTATCGGAGCTCGGTTTAGAGAAATCGGAGTTTCAATTTAGAGAATTCAGCCGCCGCGAAGCGTTGGCCGATTTCGCTAAAAGGGGAATCATCGCCATTTTCTATAAACCAGGTTTCTCTATAAAAGGATTCGACAAACTGGGGTTCGTAAAACGGCGTTCGCTAAAACGAGCTTCTCTAAACCGCATACCTCCGGACTTTTTTAATAGTGTGTTAAATTATTTAAAAATTCGTCGGAATAACGTACGCACAGGATCAACATTGTCTCGAGAATCTTTCTAGTTTTGCGGCGAATGATCTTCATTATATGAGCGAAAGATGAAATTATGTCAGTTGTTTGTTTGTTGTTCATAGTTTTATATCGAATGTCGCGAATCAGACCGGACCTCGCTTCCAAGCAGAGACTTTGAATTGCCAACCAAACAAACATAGTGGACTGAGTTCACCACCTGGTAGAGATTGGAGGCGCTAAAAGCGTGTTGGTTTTATTCTAGGCATCAATCAACCGGCAATGCCCATTCTCATACAACACATTGCCTCCTGCCAAAAACATTGCTTCATACAGCTGGGAGCAAAACTCTCGGTGTTTAATTTTCTTCTATAGGTGTGCGTGATCTGAAAGGATTTTTATATTCTTTGTACCCGTTAGTTGTGTTAATTATCCCTTTTTTGCCGGGCCACCTTTGGACATTTATGTGTAGTTTGATTTGTCTATCTTCTGTTAGTCGCAAAGGTAACACGTGAGAAGATTTGTGTGTGTGAGTGTGCGTGTGCGTCTGCACTCTAAAATAAGCCCATGAGTCTGCTTTTCCGCGCAACACTCGGAGAGCCAATCACCGCAAGTTACGGAGGCAGCTCAGCGAATGACGATGCCGAAACATATGTTTAGACCAAAAAACGCAGTCTGAGTTGTGATATTAAGCAATGCAAAACGTCTCGCTTGCATTGCTTAAATGTCACAACTCAGACTGCGTTTTTTGGTCTAAATATATGTTTCGGCATTGCCATTCGCTGAGCTGCTTCCGTAAGTTGAGGTGATTGGCTCTCCGGGTGTTGTGGGGGAAAGCAGACTTACGGGCTTTTTTTAGAGATAGTGTGTGTGTGTGTGTGTGTGTGTGGGTGTGTGTGTGTGGGTGTAGGTATGGGTGTGGGTGTGGGTGTGGGGGGGGGGGGGCTTAGCTAGATGGGCACTGTCAGATTTTCGACATGTCGCAAATTTAGACGCCTGTGGAATTTATAAAAAAACGATTTTTTTAATGGTTTCAACAGTTGTCATGTCGTCAGCACGCTTATATCTGCAGCCTCGGGAGTGCTATTCACTCAGCGCGCAGCGCCAATACGTGAATAAGCACCATCTCCTCGTTAAGGACTTCAAATTGAATATCGATGCTTCATTCGTTGTTTTCGCAGTGCAGGGGAAATACGCGACATTTCGGCTCCCTTCACGCTGTGAAAAGTAGGAATGACACTGCGTCATTTGGTTTCAATTGTGCCTTCCTGTAGACGCTTTACGTACGCGCCAGATTACAGGCGCCATTGCCGACCTTCTCTTGTCTTATCAAGATAAAGAGCCACTGAAACGGCTGTTGACGAGCGTTCACAAAGGCAAATGCTGTGGAGAAGGACACAATAGAATATAGGATGGCAATTACCCGGCCTGCTGTGGTAAGAATGAAGTGAAGTAAACGAAATAAGAGTAAACAAAAACTTGGGGGAGACTCTTAAGCTTCGCCTTTAAGAGTAGAACACGATAGCGTTGTCGGGCAACGTTCGCATCGCCCTTTCATTCGGTAGCATACTCTGGCTCGCAACCGAAGGGTCGTGGGTTCGAATCCCGCCTAAAATTCTTCAAGTTTCTTCTTTAATTAAGGAAAAGGAATTGCTTTATAGGGTGAAAATATTTGGGACACATGGCGACCTTTAATTCGCGTTACATGTCACGTTTTAGTCACTTTCATTCCAAGCGTGACATCACGTTTCATGGAAGCGTTGTGGGTTGTTTGAAATTCCCATGCGAAGGTCCATGGGGCCGTGACGTCGTGACCCCGTCGACCAATCAGGATTTTCCCGTCACGACGCTACCGATGCCGACGCCGGCTTTTCTGCGACACGATATCCTAACGCTATCGCGTTAAAAAACAAAAAAAAAAAAAAAACAAACAAAAAAAAACAGCAACTGGAAGTTGGCAATGGCGGCGCTCATGCAAAACGACTGCAAAGTTTTTTTTCTACACAGGCCATTCCAATAATCGTCTTCGGTGTACTGCCTCCTTTGTCTACTGGGCCGTAAAACGCGTTCTGAGAGTGCGCAGTTGTGTCTCGTTTTTCCCCGCAGTGAAAGACGCCTCGCATGCGTCCACAGCCCCAGTGACTCAGCATCTTTCGCCTGGAAAGGTCTACAGTCACTTACTCAGCCGAAGAAGCGCGAGGTGTGGCTCAATATGCTCACGCTTCCTGCTTCGTGATTGGCTCTTCGTCATCCCTATCGGCTAACGCTGCAATCTCATTGGCTGAGGATCGATAATGAGGTGCACGCGACCCGCCACGCCCTGCGTTTCTTAAGATGCCAGCCAGTGAGCAGCTCAAGTTCGTCTGCTTCTTCCACAGGGATTGCGCTGATGTCAAAACGCGAAAAAAAAAAAACAAAAAAAAAAACATAATTGGTAGACCTTGGGTCATCTAGCATTGAGGTCTAGCAACCATCCTTCCTATCAAAGCGAATCAGAACTCGGCGGCGTACTCCGACGTCACCACCACCGACCTGCTCGAGTAGCGGACGACTGGCTCTCCTCCTCATGGAGAAGAGCAAGTCGTCTGCTTCCTCTATGAGGAAGCAGACCTGCTAAATACGGAGCAAGGTTTTGAGACTGCGCCTGCTACATACAAAGCCAGGTTGTTTTTGGCTTTTTCACAGAGGCCTTGCGCGCTGTTGCAGCGCACGACGCTTTAGATAGAGCTAGATTCAATTTATCATTCGTTTTATCGTAGGTTATAGAGCGACGTTAACGGCTAAAAAACTCACACAAGACCGAAGAAAAAAAAAAAAAAAAACACGGAATGTCACGGCTAACTTACTGTGTTCTCTGTATGATCCGGCGATGATCGACGCACGAATAGAAAGTCAATCGCAGAGGTAGTTACATTCGTGGTGCTTGCTGATTTGTCCTATCGGCCCGTAGCTTGG